AGCACAAATAGACATTTATAAGAGCACATTGAATACTTAAAGCACTTAGGGTAAGACTTTTATATATTTGCAAGTCTCACCCTGGGACCGTTTTTTGTCACCCTTTTCTATCATCATTTCCACTGTTTCTTATTCCGAGCTAATCTTTGTATTTCCCTAAAACTCGAACATCCCATATCATTAACTATTTGTGAACGGACCGGACATTTAATATATCCTTTAAAATTTGAAATTATTGTAAATAGACACTGTATGTACTTCACTTAGTATTATCCTTTGTACTATTGAAAAAGGACTAATCGTCCGAATCACTGATTGTGAAGATGTTCAATATATATTATTAAAACATTATAATGCAGCTCTATCCTATTTGAATTTAGCGTAACATTATTTTTACTTATTACTTCCTTAATATTCTCTAGTAGGTGGACTCGTTCTTGAAACTCGTCCTGCTGTTTTGCGCTTTTGTATATTAGGCATTACTACGATTAATAAAGCTGATAAATCCGAACTGTCAAAATTAGATTGATTTCTGATTTTAATCGATCGAATGGACGGTTAAAAAGTTCGATAGTGGGCGAGGACAATAACCATAAACAATCCTTTTTCGCGGCGTTCATCTATGATGTTATAAATCATACGCGTTCTGGCCAAGCCAGTATTTTACGCATCACCTTGTGATGAATTGCAGCATCAAAATATAGTAATTTCAGTTTAAACACTACATCCTCGGTATAACTACACCGGGTTTATACCAAAACTGCATCTTTTGTTCTTATTTTCTTTTTATCGGCACAAAAATGAACAAATACCTTTTCACATCTTATACAGGATGTTTCAAACTCTTAAAGCATACAAATTCACAAAGATTTAGATTCTTTTAGTAGTGATGAGTAATGTTGATGTTGTCTTGCAGTCTTGGTTTTGGGCATTGCGAAAATGCAAGATCAAGATCAGACTATATTAGCAGGAGTAAGACCAAGACCGAATAAGCAACATCAAGATCAATACCAACACTATACGACAGTATTAGTATTGCTTCATCATCATCATAAGATCGTCAGTCCTAAGACTGGTTGGACACGTACCTCCACTCTTTCCTATCCTCAGCTAATCTTCGCATTTCCCTAAAACTAGAACAGTCCACATCCTTAACTATTTGTGCACAGTAATCTAATCTAGGTCTACCTCTACCCCTTTTAACTCCTGTTTCTGTCTCTAATATGTCTTTCACTAGACCTTCATCATGCCTGAGAAGGTGTCCTACCAACCTATCTCGCCTATTTTTTATTGACTTCCATAGAGTCCTCTGTTCTCATATTCTTTCCAATACCTCATCAATATTTTTTTGTAGTACAAAATGATATTTATATCAAATTAATTTATATTGATAAACTTTTGCATAAATTTGAAAGCAATTTTCAGTTTAAAATCGGCTATAACTAACGTTTAACGAGATTCCTTCAGGCATTACATTATTTTGGTCGACAGTGTTCCAAATTTTGTACAGAACGTTCCGAAGTTAAAAGGCAAAGTTTTTTTTGTCTATGTAACAAATGAAAATGATATATTTCTAAATTATTTACATTGATAAATCTTTCCCGTAACTTAATTCAATGTTGTCTATATTTATTCAAATTGCTCAAGAACGTGATGAAAAGCTGATTTTCTCTTGATGGAGATAATTATGATTNATTACCATCGCTACTACAAATGATGGTAAATATCAACGTATCATGAACAAGCTGAAGCTAATTTTAAATTTTCCAATAACTGAAAATACAAGAATTGTATTGTCTCGCAAGGAAACGCTGCTAGAGTCAATTTCTGTCACCTGCAGGCAGTATTATTTTTTGTCACAGATAACTATTCCTCATTACAGTTCATTGCTTAAAATGTTTATATGCCCTTAACACATTATTGTTTTGTAAGAGGGAATTGTCGTTTTGTTAGAGACAGTAGTCAGTAGATTCACGATCTACAAGAGAAACAATAAAGCTCAACTAGTGTGTGACGTTAAGGGGAGCTTTCGTTACAAAGAATTTTGCTACAGAAAATCGATTCTTTGAAATAATCTATCCTTTTGAAGATTATTCCAATTGTGACTGATCTCAAATTCGATCATTAAAATTAATTGAACAACGGATTCTACAACTGCATTCATTAAATTTTAAAAAGTTTTGTGACAAACAAATCAAGAAATATTCATAATTTTAATTCAGTTCTAGTTCTGGTCCTTATTATCTCTAGGTTTAGATCAGAACTGAACTGTAATTCGAAGGTAAAAGGTAAACGCTGTTGTGATTCCATTTCCATTTCCATCCCTTTATATACATGTAGAACGATCGGTAAAAAAAAGGTTAGTTTCGAAAATAATAGACCGGCTAGAAAATCGCCGGTCCTATGGCCGCAGGACAAAACGCAATCGGCCAAGACTCAAGCGAGGTTGCTGTTCCATTTTCCGTCCCCGTCCGTCGGAACTCTTCATCGCAGCCGGCCGTGGTCGCCGCGGCCGCCGTCGATCCGTCTGTCTCCCGACAAACGTATAATTATCGGCGTTGCACGCGGGGTCCGTAGGAGGAAGAACAACCCGACGAGGAGCGCAACGGAGGTGCGGCAAGAAGGCACATCGACTTTAACCCCCCCGTACAATAACGAGAAACCGGGCGACGTGTGTTATTAAATATTTTTTATGCCGGAAACGACCGCGTTAAGTGGACGGTTGTTTCTATGAATGCGTTCTGTGCCGATTATTATTTTTGTTGTTATTGTTTCAAAAAGGAAAAAAAAAAAGGAAAGAAGCAAGGAACAAAAGTGTATCTGTCGGCGAACAATTTCGCCCCGCGGCAGGTGAAGAAAATGGGACAGGAGAATATAACGGGGGTGAACAACGAATAAGTACCTGTATTTTACCACCGACCGGCGGATGTGTCGTTCATCATTGATTTGGCCGCCCGCATATCAGTGCAAGATCTCTGGACTCACTTTTGCTCACAATTGCTAACGTTATTCTATATTTAATACTGCTACCTGATAAAAAGATTCTAAAATTACTTTGTACAGATGATACATTAACTTTTTATATCTCCATTTTTCATTGATTACACGTAGTGTGAAAAAGAGCACTTTGTAGGGAAAAGAACCGCTGGTGTACACGTAGGTACATATAAGTCAACTGAAATGAATTTGAATCTTTTATTTTATACGCATGACTCCAAGAAAACAAAGGATCTTTTCTAAAATATACAGTTGGAAAATCTAAAGTTAATTTTCCTTTGAAATCATCAGGGACATTTTGATTCCAGTCGTCATACGATAGGGGAACCGCTGCCTTACAGCAAAGCAGGGTGACTGCAGAAAACAATAATCCTCTAACTATATGATGTACTTAACTATCTAATACTTGACAATAATTGTTTCCCCCTAAAGTTAGGGATTTTTAAAAGTAAAGTTTGAAAGTAAAAGTGTGTTTCGACACTGATTTGTGAAAATTGAAGATGTCTATTTACATTCAAATCTCACTCACGGATTTTACTCAAAATATCTACTATATTATTCAGTTCAAGCGCTCATTTTACATTTTTGTGTGATATTTGCTAGTTATAAGTTATTTTGTCGATTTTTTGTCACAATTAGATTTATTACTACATTAGTAGTGCAGTAAATCGGCCGCTGGGTTTTTACAAAACTGAGAAGATTAATCGCTTAAGACGTGCTCCTTGATCGTCGGCATAATGTGCGCGTTAACTTAATGTCTACCACAAATTAGTGGTCGGCAATTAAAAATTACCCTCAAATATATTATACGTTATACGGTCTGTTCGATATCCGTCACCGACAATGCGAAAGGCACCCCCGTGCGTCGGTAGCATATCGCATGGCCAATAATTAAGCACTGGTTTTAACTTTTAGGTAATCATTACTTCACTGAATCAACCACTAGAGGCGCTCGGAACTTTATTCCTTTTGGTCACTTTTTGGCGCCATCTTGCTTCGGGCTCTTCGGCAACCGACAATTATGGTCTCGGTGCTTAGATATATGTTGCAGTTGCCCTCTTCTTTACGATTCCGCTGGCTGCAACTTCTAAGACCTCCTCTTCACGCTAATCACAACAATTACAAGGACGAAACGATCCTTGTCATGTGTCACTAGACGTCAAAATCTTTCTTTTGTTCGGAGCACAACAATTACGCCCAGTCGGTACCCATTCGAAAATCATTAACTTATTCCACACCAAAATATATATATAGATAATGTTTTTCTATGTCCGTTAATATTAAGACTTATTTTTCAATTGTTTGTGCCGATCTCAATCTCTGATAGGCGACAATAAAAAACGCAAACGTTGAAAAGACATTGTTATCGTCTCAGCCGTCTCGATCAAACTAAAGTGGACTGCTAAACATGCTCCTGGAGTAATTTGTGACGAAATAAGGGGAAAATTATAAAATTACATTGCTGGCTTAAACTGCGCTCTTTATTTGTGGCTGTGTTCCAATAGTCTGCAGGAGGGCATGGCGGGCTTTTACTGTAATAACTCCGTAATCAAGAAAGCTCGCCTCAGTGGCGTTCTTCAAACGAAAACACAAAGGTTCCATTTAATTTAAAACAACTTTTCGTTTTGTACCTTCTTCTTTTAAGGATATTTAATATATTGACCAAAAGATCTGTATTTTGGAATAGATCGACCAATATCATCATCATCATAAGGTTGTCAGTCCTAAGACTTACTGGATAGGCACCTCCACTTTTTCCAATCCTGAGCTAATCTTCGCATTTCCCTAAGTCTAAAAAAAAAACTTTTGGGTGTTTCATTCCCACCAGCCAGTAATGCTGGTGGGTGGGCAGTCCCTNAATAACAGTCATATTTAAAATGCAAAGTAGTTCAAATATATCGTTTTCATGTATGAAATATTGGTTATAATTAACCGACAGGGTCTTTTACTTATGACTTAAGGAAATGCTGAGATTGACTTTTTGAAATTTTTAACTGTTTAGTGTCAAACAAAATGACAAGCAAATTTTAATGGGTGAAATTACTAGTAAATAAATAATTTTCCGAAAAATAATCATGCTTGAAAAGCTATGTAGTTCAAACAGAACATTTCCGTGTAGGGCAAGCACATTTTTGGAATAAAATATAAGATATAATTCATCAGGATCCAGGATCTTGTACTTATAATTAGGTATGTTTTGGGTTTTCTTCCGTATTAAACTGGGATATATTTACAAGTCAATAAGGAACAGGACAGATAGGGTGGTAGGGCATCTGAGACATGAAGGACTAGTTTGACACATACCTACTAGAGATAGAAACAGCAGTAATGAGGGGCAGAGAAAGATTACTGTGTAATATTCTTATTTTAGGGAAAATACGAAAATTGACTTTTAAAAAAATTAATGGGAAAATTTTGTACTCAATTCCTTAGTGTCCTTTTCTTTTGAAACCAAAACCAGGCAATATTCTTTTAGATAAAATCACTTACTAGTGAAGAATTTTCCAAATAGTAATCATACTGAAACAGCTGAGCTCAAGCATCATTCCTATGTATGACAACTAAAACTTTCCAAAATACATTGAGCTGTGTTTCATACCAAAATGGACTTTTCTTTTGAAATCAACTAGCAAACAAAAAGGTAGACAGATAGGATACTTTCTAAGACATGAAAGTTTAGTTAGAGACATACTAGAAACAGAATGATGGGTTAAACGGATCAAAGGTAGACCTAGATTAGATTAATGATACGATAATTAATTTTAAATTGTGTTGCTAATATAATTTCCTCAGGACTGAATATTATATTTTATCACCAGTGGAATTTACGCGTACCGCGGTAAAGAACTTTGTTATTATTTGTTTTATTTCTATTCTTCACAATAACATTTTCAAATGAAGGTACATTTGCTGATGTTTTTGTTACATACCTAATACATAAATCGTTTTTTAGCGCTATCGTCAACGTTAATGACACTTTATCATGCTTAACTTACATTTTTAACGGCTAGAAAACTGCATAAGAAACTGAAAACAACTTTCGATCCCGTTGCACCATTTCATTCACGGAAAACAGTCCTTTTATAGCTACGCAAATTGACCTGCAGAAATGAATCCTTTCAAAATTAAAAAGCATTCAAACCCTTTTGTTCACTAAGTTCATTAATATTTTGTTTTTGTGTTGTTCTTTATAGTAAGATTAAAATCAAATTACGAAATAACTTATCAGTTGACTATAACAATACTAATATACTAATACTAGTATACTGTAAATTCGTCAATGGACCTTAAAGTAGGCAGCCCAACGAGCAATACCACTCAATTTGGACTAGTGTATATTATAGCACCATTATTTATACACATATATGTATTTATATTTGGATTTTGTTACACCTGGCAGCCAGTAACAAATTGCTGTCGCTCTTAAATATATTACATAATAGCCTCTAAACGTAGCAAACAAAGATTTAAGTAAACTAAAAGTCCATTTTTAATTAGTTTTAATGAAACTTTATTCCTGTCGTCCCGCCACTTTACGGTCATAACAGAGAATACTCTTTCTGTAAATGCTGAAGTGGCCGGAGCGAACAGCAAAAGTGACACTACCTTGAACAGATTTGGGAAATCAGGTTGTTCCGTAAATATAGCTTGCTATTTTTTCTTTGTAATATTATTGATGTAAAAATACTCTGAATTTCGAATAATCGCTTACAAAATTACGATGTTTACTTAAGGCCTTAAATAAAGTATA